TGCGTTTCAGAGGACCACTAAAGATCCTTGGGCGAAATATCAGTATCAAAAGAAAGTTTAACCTTTCTAAACTGTATGGGAGGCAAAATGGAGTGTTTTCTCACACTTTGAAGCACTTTGGTTGAGATTTCGTCGCTAGATAAGTCCTCGGAGATTGCCTGCAGCTTTTGCCAGGTTGTAGAGCGATATCTGCTCTGTATCCACATGTATCAAGAGCAATATCTCGCTATATGAATTATTGAAAATGATAGACTCGGACTTTTTGCTTCAGTAGATACATAATGATAACTTTGTTGGATAAGACTCATGTTACACAAGATTATGTCCTCGAATGTCCTCTTTCGTGATCTGAAAGCCACAGCTCTGTAGCTAATTCCGTTTTTGTGTTATTCAGTAAATAACTGATGCCATTCTATTTTGAAATGAAGGATAGCTTTTGGGCAACGGGTTTTCTCATGTATGTTTACAGTGGGAACGAAACTTTTACAACGATAAAGTGTCGGCATATATTTTCCATTATTTAAATTAGAAAAAATACGCGTCCCATTTCCACTCAAAAGTCAAAAAATCGCTTTGATGTTGAATTATAACATTGCATATCTGGATATTCTACTACAATGAAAGTTACATGTGAGAATCTTTCATATACCTAGGGTAACCGAACTCGTTAAAGCAGATTCTTCTGCTGATAGTTTTATTGATCTATTTGAACGACAACCATCCATTAACAATATCGCAACAGATGGTCTAATACTAGTATGTTCGACGAAGTCAACAGTTGAAGCTCTAGTTAAGTTAGCTCACATTTAAACTAAGTATATTTAATATAATGGATTTATCTGTGGCCATGAAGGGGGCGAATAATTACCCATTATTATTGTTAAGAGCACCAAAACATAGACTACGGACATGAGTAAAACAACTGAGTGGAGCAAAATATCATAGTTAAAGTATGTTTATGTCCGAACATTTATACTTTGGTAGGAGACAATACCCTTCTTGCATAAAATAATTGTACTTATGTCGAAGACAGATCGAAAGTGGCCGATGGCCGAAGGATGGCCACGGTCACTGGTGACTTTTAGAGTCGGTCATTGAACGGAAACCAATGAGCTTTTTTCTGCATCGTCGCTTTGTGAGTGAAGTAAATCGTGAATATCTCTATATTTCAGTCGCTTAAAGCGGATAACTTTAGGTCATGAATATACACTTTCAGACTTCCTCATTGTTCCTATATTACAGAGCATTTATTTATAAGCTCTTTTTTCGAAAACTCAGCGGACGTGTACTTAATATCAGCGCTCTTTGTGGTAGTGCAGAGTAGCAAGAGGAAGTTGTTGTTATTATAAAACTAAATGAACTTTATCCTTTTCAACAAAATTTTCAATACAACAACATGTCCTTCATTAACTGCTTCATTTTTTACTAAGTTTTTATTCTTTCTTTGGCGGAAATCTAGAAGAAGTTTTATAACTGATCTTATTTCTTATTCTATTGTTTTACCAAAAAAACAATACTACTGATAACATCGAGTCGATTGCACAACTTCAATCGTTGTACAGAGTATAGGCACAAAACAGTGGATTTAGTTTTGTAGTTACTGCAAAGCTAAGTTCATGTGTTCGAATCTGTATTCGTACAAAATTGTTTTTGTGTTTTGATAGTTGTAGTTAGAATACTATAATGGAATATTTTTTCACTTGTATTCTGAAAGAATAAAGCTTAAAACAACTGATCTATTTGTAAGGAAAGGAGTCTTTTATATGCTTATTAACAGATGGAGGAGAAGTCTTACAAATGCCTCTTAAAAGCGTTGATGTAATATGTGGACGATCTCACGATTTTAGACCGCCAAGGCAATGGTTGAAAGCTACATGGAGTTATTCGGTTATTTTGCCATCATTGTTAGTTCTAGACATTAAATGAAAATATTAAACCTAAATCATAACTGTCAACGGTTCTTGTAGATGCTAAAATTAGTGTAATAGAAAAGTTTCGTTAAGAATTAGGAGAATATAGCTTTCTATATTAAATCATGTATCGCCAACATATAGATATGCAGTTAATGATGATATTATATAAGATTAACTTCTAAAGCTCTTTCTACACATTGTAAAGTTCATATAAAGTCACAGACAACCACAACATGGAATGTCTAATTGATTACAAGAACTCATAGCTGTGTTAGTCTAAATTAGTTTAGAAAAAAATGCGGCATATGCTACTATCGACGCCAAGATATAAGGCAGGTGGTTGTTTTCTGAATAACTCAAAGGGAACATAAGATAGAGATCTGCGCCTTCCGTTGTTTCTCCAGAATAATACTACAAATTTCAGTCATATCTCATTTTGCATAAAGTTTTGTTTTTGTTTTGTTTTAAGCTCAGAACACAAACCGAAAAAAATTCCATTATAGTGTTCTAAACTAAAACTATCAAAACACAAAACCAATTTTGTCCGAATACAGATTCGAACACATGAACGCAGTAAACTGCAAAACTACATCCTGTGTTCTCTGTGTGAAATCTGTACAACGATCGATGTTGTGCATTCGACTTGATGTTATTCTTACCTTTCTGTCTAGTGAATCCACGGAGTTTTGTTGACGACAGATGAAAACAAGAAAAGAAAATATCGATGAATTCCAGTTGCAAGCTTTTGAAGCAAAACTACATCTACAAAGAATCTGAATATGATAAGGAAGTTTGGATTGTTTTATTTCAAAAACAGATTGTAATGAGATATCATCAACATGAAAGATGGTTTTATAGATGATGTCGCAAAAGTGTTAATAACTATACCTTCATGCATATGTACCATTTCCGGATGTTAACATTATTTTGCTCGACTCATCCTCTAAGAGGTCGCATCAAACAAGGACTAATCAAAAGGAAGCCACAAAAGATCTGTATATGTATTTGCCAAAGTAATAACTGAAATGGTTATACAATGAAGAAAGTTGGGGAACTCGCCGGTAGGGTGAAGGTAATGCTTAGTGTATAGGCATAGCTGCACTTTGGTAGTGCAGAAATGGTTTGTCTTTTGCTTTGATAGAGGGGCTGAGTCGAGCGGTAATGCGAGAAAATTTTGCTTCTTTCCATGGCTATTATGTTCGTATTTTTCGTGGCATGGCGGTTTTAGTCAATTGAAATAATGTCATTCCACGTGAGTTGTGTCATGCAAATAATAGCCCCTTTCATATGAATCTACAGCAAAGATTGACAAAGATGGTAGGACTATGTCGATTAGAGCAACAACTTCCACTTGCTACTCTGCACTACCACAAAGAGCGCCGATATTAGGTGCACGTCCGCTGAGTTTTCGAAAAAAGAGCTTATAAATAAATGCTCTGTAATATAGGAACAATGAGGAAGTCTGAAAGTGTATATTCATGACCTAAAGTTATCCGCTTTAAGCGACTGAAATATAGAGATATTCACGATTTACTTCACTCACAAAGCGACGATGCAGAAAAAAGCTCATTGGTTTCCGTTCAATGACCGACTCTAAAAGTCACCAGTGACCGTGGCCATCCTTCGGCCATCGGCCACTTTCGATCTGTCTTCGACATAAGTACAATTATTTTATGCAAGAAGGGTATTGTCTCCTATCAAAGTATAAATGTTCGGACATAAACATACTTTAACTATGATATTTTGCTCCACTCAGTTGTTTTACTCATGTCCGTAGTCTATGTTATGGTGCTGTTAACAATAACAATGCGTAATTATTGGCCCCCTTCATGGCCAACGTAAAAGAGTCAGAAAATGTCAGTATACTTCCAATTACCTAATAAACGCTTTATATTAAATACACTTAGTGGTATCAAAGTATTATTGTACAGTTGCTGTAAGGTGCCGGCAATGCGAAATGCAAGTAAAAATCTTTTTTTCCGTTCTTTTAACATCACTCGATAGAGTGAGAGTTGCTGATCACGAAAAACAACTTTCTACCTTACACAAATGTCTTTTTCAGGTCGGAAGATACGAAAAAATCGAAGTATGTCGTGTTTTTCAAAAAACACAGTTTTTTCAAAATACGCCTTATATTTCGGTTCGTGCTTTCTCTGAGTTTCTGAATATATTTTTTTCAGATTCAGCATCAAAAACTGAGCCTAGACGAGTTGCTAAATCGGCTTAAGATCCCGACATCTTTTCACAGTGGCACTCCAAATCACACCGAGTGCAATGCGCATAAGTCATCAACTTTTTTTGTACTTGTTCCAACGTTTCTTGGACAATCTAAAACTAGAAACGATTTGCTCATTTTGAAATAACACGCCCGAGTGGCAAACCTTCTCATTTTCATAATCCAATGCACTTGTTGATTCATCCATTAAAAGAATTTTCGGATTACGTATGAGAGCTCGAGCTAGGTGATTAACCAGATACAATGTAATCGAATCACCAGTTACCGTGATTCCGTAACAAATTACTATCTCTTACATTCGCAAAAATACAACTATATATACATATCACCGAAAGTCCGAGAACGGATTAGAAAACGATCTATTGACGTCAGAAGAACTGGTCAGAACATGACATCATTAGGTCATGTTTTGCTCGGTACCGGAAATTCCATACATACTTCATACATATTGTGTGTAAATTACATACATAATGTGTAAAAATTGTGGGTAAAGTATAAGAATCTGAGGAAAAGGTAAACCTGGAAGTTAGACGGTGCAACAGTGGCTCAGATGCATTTCAGATTTTTCAACCTTTCTTCAATTCATCTTTTCATACATTTCATGATGTCATCTTTTCATCCTTTCATCTTTTCATACATTCCATGTGTTCTTACAGTTCATCTTTTCATACATTTCATCTTTTCAGGCATGTCAGTGTTTTATGGTTCATAGATTTCAACATCCAGTGGGTTTTTTGTCGGGAGGAAAAGGCACACGTTTCATGTTTTTTGCTGTTACATGTGAATTTCGTTGTATCTATGTAAAAGCTATTAGTGGTTATAGATCCGGAATGTCGGGAGTGTTTTTTCTCACTCTATTTCAAGTGTGTAATTGTGAGCTAATGAAAATTCAAAAGTCATCTTTGAAGTTTCAGGTTCCCCTTGATGCTTTTAATTAAATAAGAGCTATGTAACGCACTTTGTCTCTGTTGTTCAATTTTGTTCATGTCGTATTAAATAAATTTATGTGTATTTCTTACCATTCGAAAAATGATTGAAGTGTTGAAATTGTACAAATGTTGAAGTGTATGAACTGTATGAAAAGATGAAATGTATGAAAGGATGAAATGTTGAAATTAGGTGCACCAGTACCGGTACTGGTACCAGTAAAAGTGCTCTACAAAAGTTTAAGACCTTTTTTGTTTTTGCAATAACTCAACTTCCTTGATAGATACAGACTCCGTTCTTTCGCCAAAAGAAAGCCTACGTTGAGTACTATAAACCCTGAAGAAATGGCCAAGTTCCGGCTTAATTTGGTTGTGCTAAAGCAAAAACGCGGTATTTTACACAATTGGAAAATCTTACTTCCTGAGTATTTCACGTTTCATAACCAAGAGAATTGCGCGAAAAAAATTCAAAAACACATCATTCGATAGAAAAGTTTACGGGCTATCGAGCTTCGGCTATCGGGCTTCGATAGAAAAGTTTACGGGCCGTTGCTGATCAAACGTTCAAGTTTTGAGCATGTCTTCACCGCCAAAAACTTCATTTAGTTAGAGCTGGTCCAAGAAATGGAAAAACCTCGATTTCTCTGCTCTAGCTAAAACAAGGTTGTGGCGGTGAAGACATGCTCAAAAGCTGAAAGTTTGATCAGCAACGGATAGCCCGTAAACTTTTCTATCGAATGATGTGTTTTGAAATTTTTTCGTGCAATTCTCTTGGTTAGGAAACGTGAAATACCCAGGAAGTAAGACTTTTGACTAGAGGATGTATTCAGTGGCGGTATAGAAGATGGTTGTGATTGTTGAATTGGTTGAGATGAGAATATTGGAGACAAAGATTGATTCGTTACATCGAAAGCCAGCTGTTGATCATATTTCGTATGCAGTTTATCAATTGTTGTTACAAGTTTCTCAATCACCGATGTGGATGTTTGTTGTTGATGTTGGAAATTTGATAATAAATCGATGAGCTGTTGATTCGTTTTGATCATTGCACCTTGACTTTCAGTGATGTAACATATATCTTCAATTCTATCGTTCAATACTTTAACATTATTATTCAAATGTTCACTCGTTTCATCGGTTAGATTCATTTTACATTTCAATCGTCTCAATATTTCGATAAACTGGTCTTCGGATAAATCGCTGAGCTGCACTTTGGCTGGATCTTGCAGGCTCTTTATATATTCATTCGTGATTTTGCTGAATGAATAATTCATTCTGCGATCGATATCGATGATGATGATATTGAATCCGAGATTGATGAATAACGAATTGAGTAGAGGATTTAATCGAAGAGGTTTTGGTAGCAAATATATCTCTTTATACTGTGTTAATTTACGACTGATAAACGTTCTACGAAAAACTTTGATATCACAGGTACGACGCGAGTTAAAAAGCGTTTGAAGTTGTTGTTTTCTTTGATATTTTTTGAAATTTTAATGTATCTCTTTATAATGTGTTTAAAGAGATACATTAAAATATTACCCTAAATGTAAATCTAATGACATATGAAACAGATTTCGCAAAATAATGTGCCAGCACATTATTCAGTCTGTTGATTAAGTTTAGTTAATTCTGTTTATTTACTGGACATCTTCACCCGAAAGTCGACTCACAATACGTTAAAATGCTGTCATGGAATCTCATAAAACAGGATCTGAAATTGACTATGCTGAATTTTTACTAAAAGTATCATTATTATTTTCTGTTTTCTTTCCTTAGTTGGTGAAAAAAGAGGAGAAAGAAAATAGAAATGTTTAAGAAAATATTCGGTACATTTTTCTTTTGCTTCAGTGTGTTAAAATACATTATAGTCTATCAGTAGCCATGAGGACAAGAAAGAGCATATTGGATGAGTAAAAGCAGTGATTGAATGGATAGTGATAGAGAGGATTATTTCAACAGCCTTAAATATTTTAGTTTACAATGGCAAATCAACTGACATATGTCATTTTTATTTCGAAATGCATTTATGATCCGTCTATGGAAAGCACAAACATCGTCAGTCATTCATATGAGTGATTTGCATAACCATTGTACCGTTAGTTGTAGGAGAATGTTTGGCTTATAAAAGCTATTCGGCTCAACAGACTTTAAATTTCTTTTTATTGTTTTGTTTGTTTGGAAATGGTCATTCACTTGTGAGAAAAAGAACTCTCCATCTCAAGTGGGTGCCGAGATGTACATCAAACAAGACTAAATTTGGCTGTTTTTGTCATGATCTGGAGAAAGAATGAACTTTTTTCTCACATTATTGATAAATACCGGCCAGTATCATTACTTTCTATCCTTGGTAAACTGCTGGAACGATTTATTTACGATCAGCTGATAGCATACCTAAATAAACATTACTTGTTTTCAAATTTTCAATTCGGTTTCCGCAAAAATTGTTCCACAACAGACGCTCTTCTCTTTTTAACTCATAACGTTTATAAAAATCTGGAAAATGGAGCTGATTCCATCATGGTCTTATTTGATTTCGAGAAAGCTTTCGATCGTGTTCCTTATCAAATCTTGCTTACGAAGCTTTCTTCGTTGGGTGTGAAAGGAGCACCATATAAATGGTTTGAGAGTTATTTGTTAGATCGGAGGCAAAGAGTCCGGATAGGCAGATCGCTTTCAGAAATAGTAGAGGTTCCATCTGGAGTCCCACAAGGCTCTATTTTGGGGCCGCTACTGTTTCTGATCTTTATAAACGATCTTCCGGTGGTGACAGCGTTGTCAACTTTATCCATTCTTTTTACCGACGACTGCTCGTTGTTGTGCCCGATGAGCGTTCTGTGCTCTCCAGCGGACTGCCAGTCTTTTACAGACAAAATAGAGGGATGGTGCCAATTAAATCTCATGACATTAAACTACTCAAAGTGTATGTGGATATACTTCACAAACCGCGAGCAGTCAGTAGAAAAATAATTTTAATTTTACTATCAATGAAACGGTGATAAAGCGTGAAACGTCAGTAGTGCTTCTTGGAGTACGGGAAGCTCAGATCTATCATGGGGAGGGCATATTAGAGATGTATCTCTTGCATACAAAAGGCGTCTGGGAGAAATGTTTAGAACTTTTAGAGAAGCACCAGTGATGATTCGGTTAGCGATTTTTAAATCAGGTATTCTAATGAAACTGGACTATGGTAGCATTGTCTATGATAGTAAATGGTA